CTTTATATAAGCTGTCATATTTATCTCCCTAGCCTCAGCAAACAAGCTTACTAGCTTTCTAGGTTGCTACTGAATGAACCAGTGTAAATGAGTAGAGAAAAATATCTTTGTTGGATAACACACATATATTATATATTTAACATGCATCCATATTACATATATTTGATTTTTTAATCAAAACATTTTATTAACAGTTACATGCATTGATGGGGTGCAGTGTGACATTTCCCTTTTTCTTTATATTCTGAGTTTACATATTTGTGTTTTATGTCAGCATTTTCATGGAGATATAGTTTCCATACTAAAAATTTAAGTGAACAAATAAGTGATTTACTGAATTACATCATCATCATCACCACAATCTAAATTTAAAACATTTTCATCATTCATAAGGGAAATCTGATGTTCTCTGCCTTACCCCTATTCCCAACCCAAGCCCCAAATAACTGCTCTTTTATTTACTGTCTTTATAGATCTGTCAGTTCTGGGTATTTCATATTAGTGGAGTCATGTAACACTCAGTGTGTCCTTTTGAGTCTACCTTCGTTCACTTCATGTCCTTCAGGGCCATCCATGCCGTAGCATGTACCAGCATTCCATTCCTTTCCGTGGCTGAGTGATACTGCATTGTATGGCTAGATCACATCTTGTTGATTTGTTCATTAACAGAGGGATGGATATCTGAGTTGTTTTCACTTTTTGGAAGTTTTGAATAATGTATCTATGAATATTCACTGCCAGTTTTTGTGTAGATTCATGAGGGTCTTTCAAAAAGTTCATGGGAAATTGGATTAAAGGATTACGCAGATTTTTCATGAACTTTTTGGAGTGCCTTCAAATATGTTTTCATATTTCTTAAGTAGTACCTGGCGGGAATTGCTGAATAAGATGTCAATGTAGGATTGATTTTGTAAAATTTTAGCTTATTTTACACAAGAGAGAGACGGCGGGGGGCAGGGGAGAGCGTCTGATTTCCATCTTCTGGTAAACTACACAAACACCCAGGAACTGAGAACTCAATCCAGGTCTCCTGTATGAGGGACAAGGATTCAAACTCCTTGTACCACCCCCTGCTGCCTCCCAAGGTGCGCATTAGTCATAAGCTGGGATAGAAGCAGAGCTGGGACTTGAACTCAGATACTCCAGTATAGGAACTAGACTTCCCAAGTGGTGTCTTACCTGCTGTGCCACATGCCCACTCCTATGTTTGACATTTTCAAAAACTAAAATGTGGGGCCAGCATTGTGGCATAGAAGGTAAAGTCATGGCCTACAATGCCACCGTCCCATATGGGCATTGGTTTGTGTTCTCGCTGCTTCACTTCTGATCCAACTCCCCGCTAAGGGTCTGGGAAAAGCAGCAGCAGATGACCCAAGTGCATGGGCTCCTGTCACCAACATGGGAGACCAGTATGAAATTTTAGGCTCTTAATTTTGGCCTGCTCCAGCCCCAGCCATTGTGGCTATTTTGGAGGGTGGACTAATGGATGGAAGCTCTCTCTGTCTCTCTCTGTCACTCTGCCGTTCAAATAAATAAATCTTAAACAGAAAACAAAGCTGCTATCCCTTGTTGAGTTACTAAGGGTCTTACTGGAAAAAAAATGACAATTATAAACAAATTAGAGACAATTTAAATAAAGAGTCAAATAAAAATAATTTGTTCTAGTAATAAAAAGATCAGAGGAGAGGGGAGTCAAGGAGAAAAGAAATAAGGGAGGATCGTCTTCAGAATTCTGGGAGAAACCAGAAATCTTTAAATTTTTTTGCATTCCACAGATGTGAGAATTTCCACTTTCATGACTGCCCTGAGAATCTTCATTTAAAAAAAAAAAAAAAAAGAACAGGGGCCAGCATTAGGGACAGTTAATAAGTTGCCTCTTGCAATGCCTGCACCGCCTGGTTCAAATCCCAGCTGCTCTACCTGCCATCCAGCTCCCTAATAATGCTCCTGGGAAAGCAGTGGAAGGTAGCCCAAGTGCCTGGACCCCTGCCATCTACATGGAAGACCTGGATGCAGTTTGAGTCTTTTGGGTTTTTACCTGGCTCAGCCCCAACTCTTGTGGTCATTTGGAGAGTGAACCAGAAGAGGAAAGATTCTCTCTCTCCCCCTCTCTCTGTTTCTGTGCCTCTCACCTATGATCGTTCCTTAAAAGACGCATCTAATTTATTTGAGAGGCAAAGTGACAGACAAGGAGGGAATAGAACTTGTATCTGCTGGTCTATTCCCTGTTGCTGAGGCTGGACCAGGCCACAGCCAGGAGCCTGGAATTCCATTCAGATCTCCCAAGTGGGTGGCAGGGGCCCAAGCACTTAAGCCATCTTCCACTGCTTTTTCAGCCACTTTAGGAAGAAAGCTGAATCAGAAATAAGGCAGCTGGACTCAAACCATTGCTGAAATGAGATGCCAGTGTCTCAGGTGGTAGCTTGACCTGCTGAGTCATGATGCCAGCCCTAGCAAATAGATTTTCTTTAATAAAGTGCTAGATATTGAATTATTAGGACCATTGAATTAGCTAGATAATAATAATGGCTGATACTTGAGTATTTTATGCATCAGGCATTGCTCAAAACAGGAAAATTAGGCTCAGAGAGGCCAAGTAGTCTGACCAGGAGCACACTGCTGGAAAGTGGCAGAGCTGCGGTTTGAATAACAGAATACCCAGCTCCCAAAAGACATTTAACCCTCTCATGGCCCACTGTGCAGTTACTGGGTGCACCCTCTAAGTCCACGTGGGGAAACGGGCTCCCCTATGGTGGAGACAGGAGCTCCACTAACTCGTCAGCCATCAACCCTGGCCGTGGGTGTCACCGAGAGACCTTTCTTAAGATGTTCTTTGGGAGTGAGCTCCGGTGTGCAGGGCTATCTCCTCAGCTCATTCATTACAGGAACCAAAGGACAGCCTGGAAGGACCTGACAGCCACACTCAGGTTTGCAGCTGCAGGTCAAGCTGGTCATGGACATGCATGGGACGCTGAGGTGTCTCCAGTTGGATTTGGGTGTCAGGTTGCTCACAGGTACATAAGGATCTGGGTTGGAAGGTGACTCCAGCCCGAACCATCCCACTCTGCACCTGCTATGAGCAGGTGTGAAAGCGGTGGACAGCCTATTAACTGGACAGCCACATACTCCCCTGCTACAGGGATCCCTACACTTTTTAAAACTCAGTGAATCCAGTCATTTTCTGTAGCTGCTTTTCCTATCAAATCGTGCAGATCTCCGTCTAGGGGCTTAGTGGTGACTGTGGCCAAGTGCCTGGTCACATTGCTAGTAAAGCACACATTTTCCACATTGCTAGTAAAGCAAAGTTTGGTGAGTTTGCAGTAAATGCAACAGTCTGCTTTGGTCAACTGTGCCCAGGGTCAGGGGCTGCTCAGGGAAGATGGTGTGAATGCAGACCCACGCGGCAGCCTCCTCTGTGACTCCCAGAGCTAGCGAGAGCTTGGGCACGAGTTTCTGTAAAAAGTCCCTTGGGGGATTCTGATGTACAAAATTGAGAAACACCAAACTAGGGAGGAAGATCTCGAGACAGAGTCAGGTTTGAAACAGGCTGTGTGTAAACTTTTCTTAATTTTTTTTTTTTTTTTTTGCTTATTTGTAAGGCCCAGTGATGGGGGTGGGTAGGAGACAGGGAAGAGACAGAGATCATCTACTTGTTCACTCCCCGCATGGCCAAAAGGCCAGGCCAAAGCAGGGAGCCAGGACCAGCATCGAAGTCAGCCATGTGGGATGATTTCCAAAGTACCTCACCCATCTTCCACTGTCCCCCACCACACACCTCAGGCATGTTAGCAGGAAGCTGGATGGGAAGCAGGGCAGCTGGGACTAGAACTGGCACTCTGACATGGGATATAGGCAGAGGTTTAACATCCTGTGCCACAAGCTATACCCAGTGTGCAAAATCTTAGCATTCCTGCAGCACTCAAGCTGACTGGCCACTTGAGGCTACAGATGGTCCCAAAGCCGAGGTTTGTGCCCAATTTAACAGGCAACAGGGAGCCGTGGGAGCTTATGGAGCAAGGAAAGCCAGCAGAAATGCACAGAGCTATTAAAAAGCCCAGCCACCCAGCGACTAGGAAACACAGACTAGGCTTAGAAAGGCACATGGCAGCCACAATGTTGTTGGCTGACTGACTAAAAGGAGTGTAAACCTCAAGCCTGGAGGGCTCACGCCTTTCACTTTTTCAATCGCCCTTATCTGCCAGCCTCCAAATCTCCACTAAGTCGCATTCCGACCCCTCCCCGCGGCTCCCTCCGGGGTCCTGGCTCAGGCGCCAGGGCCACAGACCTGTCTCTCACCCATTGTTCAGTTTCCGGTGAGTCCAGTTCAACCCCAGCCTCCATGTCTACGGTGACAGTCACAGACACATTCCCTCACAGACACCCCGGAGGTGGGTGCCGGCATGCCCGCCAGGGCCATCGGCACGCGCAGCTTCTTTCCAGTCCAGGAGCCCGCCGGGGCGAGAGTGGGAGCCCCGCGTCCGGGTGGATGACCCACGCTCTCCGCGAGGGAGCGCCCGGCCACCGGCAGGCGTGACCGCCCCCGCCACGCCCCCGCCACGCCCCGACCTCGCCCTGTGCCTGCTCAGACCACACCCCCTCCACGCCCCCGCCACGCCCCTCTGGCCGACAGAGCCCCCGCCCGGTCGCCAGCCCCCTCTCCACGTATTCCCGGTCCCTCCCTCCCTGCCTGCCCGCTTCGCCTCACCGCCGAGTCCGGCTGAGGGGGATGCTCCGGGTCCCACCTCCTCAGGGGAGCCGCGCATTTCTGCGCGCCTGGGCGGCCCGGGCTACGGCCGGCCCTGGTGGTGGCGGCGGCTGCGGCGGCAGCAGCCCGCGTTCCCCGTCCCCGGGAAGTTGTCTCCGGAGCCCGCGGCACCTCGGTCTCCTCCCCTTGAGCCCCGCCTCCCCGCCCGGAGCTGGGATCTTGGAGCTGCCCGGCCCGGGGGCGTCACCGCTTGCTCTCCGGAGCCAGTCAGTCTCGGCTTCCCCGTGCTCAGCGCGCGCGTCCCTAGCCGGCCCGGGGTCTCCCCGCGCACCCCCGAGACGGCGCGCGCCCAAAGCGAGGAAGCCCGGAGCGCCGGGCGCCTGGGACCGCGCGGAGCCGCTGCCCAACCTGCAGGACTCGGCAGGGATGCAGGTTGCGCTGTGAGCCCGGGCGCCAAGGCCATGTCCGGCGCCCGCTGCCGGACCCTGTACCCCTTCTCCGGGGAGCGGCACGGCCAGGGGCTGCGCTTCGCCGCGGGAGAGCTGATCACGCTGTTGCAGGTCCCTGACGGCGGCTGGTGGGAAGGCGAGAAGGAGGACGGGCTCCGCGGTTGGTTCCCGGCGAGCTACGTGCAGCTGCTGGAGGTAAGGGGCGAGGGCCGAGAGCCGGGAGTCCTGGGCTACGGTCCTCCTCCGGTGCGCTCGCCTACCTGTTGCCCGCGCTGGGGGAAGCCGCTGCCTACCGGGTCCGAGGGGCGCCCGCCCCGGGGCGCGGAGTGGGGGGCGAGCAGCGGCTGCCGAACCGACCTGCAGCGCCGGCGCGCCCAGGGAGCAGTGGAGGAGAGCGGGTGCCCTTCGGGGCGTGGGCGGCGCGGGCTTGCCCGGTGCACTCCGCTTGAGCCGGCCTCCCGCGTGTCGGAGCCGCTTGGAGGAAGCGAGAACTTGTTGCTTGTGTGTGTGTGTGTGTGTGTGTGTGTGTGTGTGTGAGAGAGAGAGAGAGAGAGAGAGAGAGAGAGAGAGAGAGAGTGTGTTCTGGAGGCGGGTGCGGTCCCAACAGTGGCAGTGACTGGGGATGTGGCAGTGTTGCGGAAAGCATATGAAAAGTCCAGGGTCCGAGAAATGTCATGTCCTCAGTCCGCTGCGGGGCAGCCCGGCCTCTTCCCCTCAGCCTGCCAGCCCAGGGAGGGTCATACTGCCGGGCCACTTTGGGAGACTGTCCACTTGCTGGTCAGCTGAGTCTGGCTGGGCCAGTAGCCCAAGCCCCATCCGCAAACTTGGTTCAGCTCTCTAAAAAGTGGCTAGACCCTGGGGTTCTGGCCGGGTCCCAAACCTATGCGGGACCTGCTGCTGAGCCAAGTCAGCTGGCTGTCTATTGTCTGGGTGACAGTTGGTTGCTTCTCTGTGCTCTGTCACTGGGCGCAGGGTCACTGCCTGAATGGAACCCAGCTTTCTCAGGTTGGGATGGTGGGCGGGGGGAGGGGGTGGGGAGTTGGGGAGGGGAGGACTTTGCTTCCTTCCAGAACATCCTCTTGAACTCAGAGGCGGTTTCACCCCAGGACTGTTGTCAAGAGGGAATGAACATTCTGGTGAAACCGTGTCCACATCATGAAAACGGAATTCATTTATAATTTAACGACCGACCTACTTCCCAAAAGAACAAAGTAGCAAATTTTGCAAGAGGCTGCTCCCTGCAGCTAATGGGGAGAAGGGAGGGAGGAAGGTAGCTGGGGTGTCATGGCTGTAGAGTGAGTTAGTCCCTGTGGTGTACCCGCAGATGTCTTGGTTCTTTCAGGTGGAGAAGCACCCACATGCTGCCTGCTGAGAGCCAAGAATTTCCCCCAAGCTTAGGGACTATCAGGAGGGGTGTTCTGGGCAGACTTCACTTCCTGTGAGGTGACACCTGTAGATGTAGGACAGGCCCAGGTGTGGGGCTCAGCTCCCCTCTACCCTGCTCCTTTCCTGAGAAGTAGATGTCAAGCAAAGCGAGTGTGCTGCTTCTTACATGACAATCTGGACTCTCCCCGTGTCTAGTTCAAAAGCCCTGGGAGAAATGTATTTTGGGATTCCTTCTGGTGACTGTATTTTCCCAGGAAATATTGATGTGGAAATCTGGCTGGTGGATATGTCTGTCCAGTTAGGAACCCTGTCTGGACTCTGCCAGCTATGTTTTGGGGTGAATGAGTGTGTATGTGTGTGTGTGTGTGTGTGTGAAGGAGGAAGGGGATGGGAGAGTTGGGGTGAGTATTAACAAGACTGCTTTTTTTTTTTTTAAGTAGGGGGAGGGAGGAAAGACCACCCTCCTCCCTTCTGAGCAAAGCAGAATTATCAGCTAGGACAGCCTAGGGTGTGTCAGCCACACCCCCGGCACAAGCATAGTTAAGAAATGTCTGGTGCCTGAGAACATTCCCAACTAGTATCGTGCAACAAAAATGGCCATCTATGTGAGCAGACCCACTGAGAGCAAGTTTGATTGGTTGAGGATCTCCTAGATACTAGGCATGGAATGTCCTTTATCACTTCCCCAGGAAGCAATGTGAAGAGTGAGATGTTGTGCCTACAAGTAAACTGTGTCTCAGAGAAGTGGAGCTGGCTGTTGCAGAAGTGATGCTTGCCTATTTGGTCAGCAACACAGGTGACTAAGCCTGTGCCTCTTGCCGATGTGGTAGCCTTGGGTTGAACCATGCCAAAAGATTAAGGAGGGACAGGGCAGGGACAGCCTTGGGGACAGCAGTCCTGAGGGAGGCTGGGGAAATGCTAGGGCTAACATGGGGTGACTGTAGCATAGAGCGCCCCTTCTGCTAACCCTGGAGTTTGAGCTGGCTTAGAGCTGGCTGATTTCCCCACAGGTGGAGGCAGGGGGAATCTGAGCCCTGTGGCTTTAGTGCTCAGCCAGGCTCATTTCAGGGCAAAAGTAGTTGCAATTTCAAATAGGGAGGATCTCGGGTCAGGAACTTGGTGTCTGGGAACCTCCTACAGAAGCAAGCTGGATCTGCCAGCTCAAGGCTGGGTCACGAGAGTGACTATGCCAAATAGAGTTCCTTGGGAGAGCAAGAATCTTCCAAGTAACATCAGTAGCAAAAGACAGGACTTGCAGGAGAGTATCTGGTGGCTAGACTATGCTCCCCTCACCTCCCACCCCCATATCCAACCATGGGACTTGAAGTTTCCTAGCAGGTACTGGTCGAAGCTGCCAGGAGATTCGAGAAGGTGCATGCAGATTTGGGAAGTGGGGAATTCTGTGGGATGTGGGCCATGTGGGATGCCTGGCTCTGAGCTTACTAAGGGCGGGGAGTTCATTCAGAAGGTCATGGAAGCCTTTGTGGAAACAAGTGAAGGCAGAATGGATTCAAACAGCCTTCTTGTGGGAGGGATGGAGTGGAGGGTGCCTGTCTGAGAATAGTCACTCTGGTAGACTTCTATTCCTTGGTACCATTTTTCCCTCTGGTGTAAAGAGTGATATCAGAGAACCCCATCTTGTTGGAGGGGTGTCACACACTGAATCAGCAATGTAGACTCCAAAGATTTCTTTCTTGTTCAGATGCAGAAAAGGGAAGTGAGAGGCTCTTGCTTTGCAGGAAGCAAACCCCATAGGGGAGGGTTAGGAGCAAACTCGGAGAGGCTGTTGGATCTATCCCAGTGGGGGTAGGTTGCTAAGCACTTTGCTTTGGTCAGGATTCCAAGGTCAAGGTAGAATGGTGCAGTCCACATCCGACTTCTAGGAAGTGGTTTCCAGGGAAACCTTAGCCCAAGCAGAGACATATGTATGGGTGGATGGATCAGATGGGCTGAAGCCCTCTGGCCGCCAGTGTCTCTTCCAGTCAGTAGAATGTGCAGCTATTCAAAAGAAGGGAGGGAACCTGCTGCTCCCAGGAAAGGGATTGATGACCAAGACCCACAGCTGACCATGAGGCATAAAAGGCCCCAGATAAGAGCAACTGAAAGAGTCAGTCTTGGTCTCTTCAGCCACTAGAAGGGAGAGAGTATAGATCTCTACTAATATCATTTGGGAGACCTGTAGTGGAGGAGCTGAATTGGCAAAGATGACCAGAGACCAGGAATAGAGGCTATGGAACAGCATATTTGCCAGCCCCAAGCCAGGCCCAGCATCACCTCTGCTGACCTGGTTCACCTGCATGTGGAAAGATATCCACCAGGCTCTGGGTATGGAATGGAGGTTAGAGAAATGTTCCTGGGAAAAGAGATAGAGAAGGGAGGCAGATCTCCCGTGCTAAGGAAGATACAAAATGTCAGACATGGTACCAGGACAGGTGCAGTGCCTAGAGGGTTAACCAGAGTCAGGAATTCTTCCCTTCAATGGACAGAAGTCAGAACTTAGAGGGAATCTGGAAGCATCTTTAAAACTTCCCAAAGCTTTTTGGGAAAAATCTGGATGTCAGTAAGCTTGTGTTGCAAAAACACACACAAAAAAGCTGTTCTTGACTTAGAATCCGGGATCTGGACCTCAGAGGCGCTAACAAAACTTGATCTCCTCTCTGCATTCTACTCTTCCTTTTTGGGAGTCTCTGTGTTTGTGCTGTAGGAGTTCGCAAGGACTGGTTGTGGGAGTGTAGACTTTGCTGTTGGTCATCAAGGCATAATGCTTTAGTTATTGCTATGTGACAAGCTGCCCTTGAGCTTCGTGTATCCAAACAATTGTTTATTCTGGGGGTTGGCAGGGCTCAGCTATGTGGTTCTTCTGCTAGTCTATCTTCTTGTCTCTCTTGAAGTTGCAGTCAGATGGCAGTTGGGGCTGGAGTCCTGGAGACTAAATTGGGCTGGAAGATCCAAAATGGCCTCTCCACCCACCTGTGTGGTGCCCAGATGTGCTTCCACATGGCTCATCTCTGCACTCTGTGTCTCCTCCTCCAGGGCCTTTCTCTTGATGATCAGAGTAGTTGGAGTTCTTCCATGTGGCTGGCTTCCAAGGGCACCAAGGTGCACATTGTTCAGCCTTCCCAAGGCCTCGGTCCAACACTGGCACACCAGTTCTGCTGCATTCTGTAGGGAAGGGAGGCACAGGACCAGGCCAGAGTCAGGGTGGATGCAGGAGAGGAGAGGAGACAAGGGGGGCACGGCTTCCTGGATGGCCATGTTACAGATCAGCCATCTCAAAAGTGCCGTGAGAACATGCAGGGACATAGGGCCCATAAGAGAGAGACAACGAGTGCCAGACCAAAATGATGATGCTACCTTGGAGAAAGGTAGAATGCAGAGGGCTTGGCCCGTCTTCCTTCAGCAATGTCTGTTATTCTTGGAAGGTTTATTTATTTTTTAAAATAACATGAGTTTTATTTTTCTTTTTATAAAGCCCACAGGATATGTGATGCATAAGGAATTTAAAAATATACGTTTGAGAGGCAGAGAGGCACAGGAGAGTATGTGTGTGAGCTTCTTCATGCTGGTTCACTCCCTAAATGCCTGCAGTGGCTAGGGTTGGGCTGAGCTGGGAACTGCATCCAGATCTCCCACATGGTTGACAGGTGCTCAGCTACTTGAATCATCATCTGCTGCTTCCCCTGTGCACATTGGGAGGAAACTGGAGTCAGGAGGTAGAGTGGGATTCCAACCCAGATTCTCCTACATGGGATGGGAGTTCTTCAAGCAGTCTCTGAAATGCTGCGCTAGTTGCCCACCACTCTCCTGCC